AAAGCTCCCAGAACATTGGGACCTGGACAACCAGTTTTATCTGCTCATAATATCACCTCTAGACAACCTTGTCAAAAGCTCAGTCTTAGTTAATGCATGTTAGGAAATACTTAGTGCCAAAGTGGAATTCCTTTGTCACTCAGAAATCTTTCTTTCTTTTCTTTTTTTTTTGATATGTGCCCTTAGCCACTAGGGCCTAGTAGGAACTGAACTTGGAACTCTCTGGTCTGTAGGCTGATGCTCCAACCACTGAGCCAAACGAGTCAGGGCATGAAATCTTAAATAATACATTTTTTAAAAATTCAGAGCTTACTAAGAAAAAATTCCCAGATCATCATTTGATTCATGTGCAGCGTGTATTTTTAAATATCAGATCGTTTGCTAGAGACAAAGGACTCTACAGTGATTTTCAAACCCTTGCATGCAACAGAATCACGTTAAAGACTTGTTATTACCAGGGTTTCTGATTCAGTGTCTAAAGTGGGACCCAAGAATCTGTAATACTAATAAGTTCCCAGGTAAAGGTGATACTGTTGGCCCTTGGTCCATACTTTGAGGGTCATGATTAAATGTTTGTCTAAAATTAGGAAATAAAGGTATCTTTTTATATAGATGAGTAATCAATTTTGCCATCATTTTACAAGATGGGTATAATTATTAATTTTCCAGTCTGTTCTGAAAATGAAGGGATGTATAAATCCCATGGATACCTTCAGGACTTTCCCCCCTTTTTCATAGCCCAACTCATTGCCTTAACTAATTTAATCCTCAAGGCTTGGAACCTGATCTGTTTGCACTTACAGGTGCAAAAAAAAAAAAAAAAAGAAACAGAATTGAAAAAAGGAAAACCATGAATTGACACTTGTTTCTCTTTTAGACTCTCATGCCCTTTGCAGGTATATTTTGTGGTCTGTGAGATGATTATGGATTGCACCTATGAGAAAATGTAAAGCTTTATTATCTTTTTATTTTAATGTGTATAAAATAAAAATTAAGTTACAACAAATCCTTATTTGTAGGGGTAAGATTGCCTAGGACAAAGCTCAAAAAGGAAATGTGTTATGATGCACCATATCATACCTCATGAAAACAGGTCCTGTGCTCAGACATGCATGTATCACATTTAACCATTTAAAACTACAAGTATTCCCATTTTCTCACCTATCTGGAAAGTTGATATTTACAAAAAATTAAGTTATGAGAGTGATTAGTGTTTTGTTTTTTTAAAAATGTTTTTATTGATATTTTTTAGAGAGAGAGAAAGGGAGAGAGAGATAGAAACATCAATCGACTGCCTCCTGCACGTCCCTACTGGGGATCCAGCCTGTGACCTGGGCATGTGCCCTGTACAGGAATTGAACTGGGACCTCTCAGTCCATGGGACGATGCTCAATCCACTGAGACACACTGGCCAGGCAAAAGTGATTAGTGTTTTATATCTTCCATCTACCTGGTCAAATCTCTCGGAAGGGTAGTCTTTTTGTGTTAAAGATGGAGGTATCAGTGGTGAGGTCAGTTGCTCACATTTATAAATGCTGTCAATTTTAATCAAATACTATTTGATTCTACTCTAAAAAATAATTCTTGAGCTCTCTTCCTCTTCTTGATCTCCATCATTATAGTTCAGACAGACCCTCATCATTTCTTGCTGAACTGTTGCAATTCATCTGATAATTTTTTTTTTTAATCCTTACCGGAGGACATTTTTTGCATTTATCTTCAGATAGAGCGGGACAGAGAGAGGAAGAAAGAAAGAGAAAGAAACATCGATGTGAGAGAGACACATTGAGTGGTTGCCACATACACAACCCCGACTGGGGCTGGTACAAACTGCAACTGAGGTACGTGCCCTTAGCGGAAAGTGAACCCGGGTCTCTGGTCTTCGAGCCGATGCTCTAACCGCTGAGCCAAACCGGCCAGGGCTCAGCTGATAATTTTCTGAGTCCTGTCACTTGATAATCAAGCCGAATCTAGAACACAGGACTGCTACTTTCCCTACTGATGACCACTGATGTAAGGACACTATCTTTCTGTTCCTCGAATAGGCCAAAGTCTGTTGCGAATGCTCTTTGAATGGACATTTGCACTGATGAGTTTCATCTTTCATGCCTTGCTTTCTGTCACCTCTCCAGAAGGACCTGCTTTGAGCACCCTGTCCAAACTAGTCATCTTTTCTGTATCACTATTTTTGTCTTTGCTGAATCATTTAAGCTAAAAAGATAATGTACCTTGGGGTTGTGTATTTTATAATTCTGACTCTGCCAGTAGAAGGCAGCATCTACGAAGGTAAAGCTTTGTCCACAGCTGTGTTCTCATCACTGTCAGGAAGGAGGAGCAGATCGGACAAGAACGACTTAATGGGAGGAGAGACAGGTTAAATTTCAGACAATGTTTTCAAGAGAGAAGATGGTGTGAGCTCATCAATTATTCAACAACATTAACTGAAATCAGGAGGCTAATTGGGGCCACCCATTCTTAGTGTTTTGGAAAGAACAATCAAACCTCAGCAACTTACCAAGAAGCCCCTGTCTCATGGTCATCAGGAAATTACTTTTTCAAACTACTATTACCGAAGTTCACTCATACCTGATGCTTGCCCGGAATATGTTCAATCAAAGATACAAGTAGAAGGTAACTTCACAGAGGCCTGCATTACGCTAGATCGCAGGTTAAGAATACCTCAAGCAACTGGAAGTTGAGAGGATGTGAGGGGCCTGAGTGGGTTTATACTTAATGCCACACTTAGATGTATATGATTACTCTTGACTCTGGAGAACCAAGAGAAACCCCTCAACACACTCCTGAGGTCTGACATAAAGGATATTATTGTTATAGACCAAATGGAAGCATTTTGTGAGTCATCTTTAGAATATCTTTAGGACTTTTGAAGTACTGGTTCCCAAAGTGTGGTCCCCAGGGTAGTAGCATCAGCATCACCTAGGAACTTGGTAGAAATGCAAATTCTTGGGCCCCACCCCTGGGCTGGGAACCCAGCAATTTGTTTTAGTAGGCTTCTCAGATGATGCATGGTAAGAACCACTTCACTTTTAGGGGCTACCCATGTGAGATAATTTTAGGGATGCTGAACATTCTGGTTGAGCTGCTGAGGTACTAATATTTACTGTTAGTTGCTTGGGTGGGGAAGATTGCTGGGCTCTAGGGCTGAGAAGCTGTAGGCTTTCTTGACTCTGACTATGGGGGATGAAGGTTAGAATGAGCAGTGAAGAGAATAACTAGATTCTCATGGCTTTACCTCCACACTCAGATTCTGTGCAGGTTGAAATTTCTCTGCCATCTGTTTGCTGAATTACCTTGAGTAAGATACTTGAGGTTTCTGCGCCTAAGTTGAAGCATCTGTTCACATCATTCTCTGATGGGAACATGGTGAGGCTAAAATAAGATAATACATTTAAAGCATCTGAACTGTGCCAGTCACATAGAACATCCTAAGAAGTAAGTTGTTTTCATAATGTCCTTCATCTGTTTGAGAAGAAATGTTTAGTTTGCTGCCAGCTTACTAACAGTGGAGTTAATATTGACTAATATCAATATTGGTGCATCTTCTTCACCTTTAAAACGTTTCAATTCTGGCAAGAAGAACATCAGTGAATGTGCTCAAGATGCTCTCTTTTTCCTAGGAGCCTACGGAAATGGCACCTTTGACTTTGCTAAAACCAGTGCTGTGGCATCATTCTCCAGACTTTTACATCATCCTGACTGGTTCTAATCGAAAGCTAAGGACTTTCTCCTTCTGATAATCATCAGAGCTGCGTAATTGTGGAAACCCTCTGACAAATCTTAAATCAAGTGTACTTATTTTCCAGTGTAGTATGCTTCCAACCCTACTGGCACATTTGAGTTTGATTGATTATTTTGTCATATTAGGGTTTTAACTGCTCCATCATATAACCTACCTCCCAACCTTCATATAGATTAACTTCTCCATTATCACTCCACGAAACCTATGCCAGGTCCTGAGTGGTTGGATTTGGATGGGCAACTATGGCACAGAAAAAAAAAAAAAGATGTCCACATTGTAATCCCTGAACCTGCAAATATGTTACCTTATATGACAAAATGGACTTTGTAGATATAATTAAGTTAAGGATCTTGAAATGGGAAGATTACCATGGATTATCTTGGTGGGTCTAATGTAATATAAAAGGTGGAGAGAGGGTTGTAAGAGGAAGGGAGAAGCAGATGTAATGATGGAAGCAGAGACTGGAGTGACAGGACCACACAGTAGGGGGCCACAGTCAAGGAATGCAGGTGGCCCTTTGAGGGCAAAAAGAAAACGAATTCTCCCCTAGAGTTGAGCCATCAAAAGGAATACAGTCCTGGTGGCACCTTGATATGAGCCACAAGAGATTCATTTTGGTCTGCACCTGCTTCTCTTTCTGCAATACAAGCAGTATCTTCAATTATTATATCTATGACCCATAAGTTTTGTACTACTCAGTGACTTTCTACCTAGGTACCCCTTATTGGCAGAAGAAAGGGAACAAAGAACGTTTTCTCTTTGAGTTTATCATCCCACTCAAGTCACTTTATTGTCTCTGCTGCTGATTCTTCCAGCCAAATCCACAGAAAATGTAATCATCTCTTGATTTCCAATCTGCATGATTTAGGCTCTTTAGCGTCTTTGATAACACCTGAAAATCACCTAGTGAAAACAGTTTCCTACAATTCAGTCTCTGTTGGAAGTGTGGTGTGCCATGCCAGCCTCCCAGATGATTTAAAGAGGCCTCTCAGGCAGACACAGATGTCAAATAGCACTTTTTGCCTGATACGCTTCTCCGAATTCCAGCGTTTGGGTAATCAGGAGAGTCTCAGCTTCTAGATGGTTGATGCTATGGTAAGAGAACACCATGGATTATCTGAATTAGTAGGAAAATAAAGGCAGCTGAGCATGGGAGGCCATATAAAACCACTTAAGCCAGCTACCACTTCTTATTTCCTGAGGAGTCCTGTGTTGAGTGTCTGCCACGATGAAGGTCCGCATGGCTTTAGAGGCCTTGCTTCTCCTTGCTGCTTTGATGTGGCCTTGTGCTGAAAACATGTATGGTAAATGCCCACTTTTAGAGAATGCTTCCTTGGAATGATGATGGCTTTCCATGTAGGCACTCTCCTCTCTTCAAAATTTAATCTTATACTTTGCTTGAAGAGAAATATTTGGGGCCAAGAAGACTTGGGTTAATAGGTTGAGGACACATTTTCTTTTTCCCTAAATATCTTAGATTTTTCTTTTTCCTTTGTTGCGGCTTTCTCTCTGTCTTGATCCTCATTTGCAGAGGTTCCTCAAAATAGTTCTTGGCTCTATATGTCAGTCTGCATATTTGAACCTATAGCCAATTACAATACAATTGATTGCAAGATACTCAGTTCTATCTTAACTGACTTTTCTGCTTCCAGACTCTTCATATTTCCATTGGTGATGAAACTGCTCTATTGTTCTTTTAAAATAGTGTCTGATCTTCATTCATGTCAAATTCATCAATGGTTGTGCGAAGCCAGTAAGATAAAGCTAAATCAATATCTGGTCTGTCCATAAGTTGATCCCAATACTTTTCTTTTTACCTGGAATATTCTCTATTTTTTTAGGTTCTCCAAATGCTTCCCAGGTTCAAGGCCTGACTAAATGTCAACTACTCTAAGGCAGTATTTCAGTGTTAGTTTTTCTGTTACTTATATTTTTAGAAAATTGCTTGCATGTATATGTTTCCTTCTGTTTGCAGTGGGTTATTTTTGCATGGAACTGACAGGTGAATTTCTTTTATTTTTATTTATTTTTTTGGTCAAGGCTACATCTCATTTTCCAATTGCTCCAGTGCATGGGAGACACAGAAAAGATCCTCTATGTGTTTTTATGGCAAGCTACGTCTCTACAGTCCTGTGAATAGAACCGATACGTTTTAAAAATGTATTTTTCAAAATGTATTTTTCAATTACAACTGACATATTATTATGTTAGTTTTAGGTGTATAACATAGTAATTAGACATTTATATAATGTATGAGGTGATCACCCTGAAGGTCTAGTGCCCATCTGATGCCATGCATGGTTATTATAATATTATTGACTATGTTTCCTATGCTGCACTTTACATCCCGGTGACGACTATTATCACTAGCGATTTGTAATTCTTGATCCCTTCACTTTTCACCCATCCCCCAATCATGCTCTCCTGTAGCGACCACCAATTTGTCTGTATCTATGAGTTTGTTTCTGTTCTGTTTGTTTATTTATTTATTTAGATTCCATGTATCAGTGAAATCATAGGGTATTTGTTTTTCTATGTCTGACTTATTTTACTTAGAACAATACCTCCTAGGTCCATATATGTTGTTGCAAATGTTAAGATTTCATTCTTTTTTATGTCTGAGTAATAGTCCATTGTATACATGTACCACATCTTGTGAATTTTTTTATCCATTTGACCTGTAAATCCTTTATTAGCAAGGGATTTATATAGTTCCTGATCTTTCCACTGTACCCAAGATGAACCTTTCAGAATCCTAGAATAGCACAACTCACATGTAACAGTTAATTATTATTGATGTTTTAAAAATTTCAACTCATGTGGAGAAAGGACAGTGGCTTGTGAGTTGGGGGAGACTTCTGAGATGGGGTGAATGGGACATTCAGGCTCGGCTATGGTACATGATGTTGGGGTGCCAGGAGGAGTCTGCCTCAGTTAATGTACCCAGCTGCATATTCCTAGGCTTTCTCCCAAGTGACTTCTCAGCTATTTGAGACACAACCTTAGCATGTCAAACAGAAACTTGACTCTGATATTAGTATGAATAAAAAAGAGTGAAGCCAGAATCATGGACTTCCTGTATGCCCATGCCTACTTATCCCTTTGAATCCATCTTTTTCATACCAGTTGTTGAAACCTTTTTTTCCTGTAAGAGGAATTGTCTTGATAATCTTATCTAGGTGATGTTAGAATAATGTTTCAAACATGTGGAGAGAGGGGATTCGAAGTTTACAATCACTGATGTGAAACACCTGCCTTCTCCAATCCCACTTCTCCCCGACAACATCTCCCTGCATTTTCTTGCTTCCTTGATGATGATTAATTGTAAAGACCATGAACTTCCAGGTTCAAATGTTGTTCACATTTTCTCGCTCATTAACATGCAAATATTTTTTCATTCTGGGAAGATTTAGCTTTCCCAAAGTGTTTAAGAATATCCTGAATGCCTACTAGTTAAGATCTGAAATGCTAACGCTACTTTTTATTGTGTGATCTGACTTATTATTACGTTGTAATGGACGTGTAAGTGAGCACTGGTTACATAGGAAAGAAGATAATAAGCAGACAGTTAGGCTCTCTGACACATGACTGACTTGCTCAGAGTAACGTTAGGTTTATTTGAGAGAAGTACAAGACACTAAAATATTGATGGCAGGTAGTCATTTTTAGGACACAGACTGTTTCTCCAACAACTACCTGTTGTCAGTTCTTAAACTGATGAAAGATTCATCTACAAGGAGATGCATTCTAGTTTGTTCTCCAATCTGGAAGTGTTGCAATGTAATGTAAGTTTGTCTCTCCCCCCCATACATCTTTAAATACTAAAGCTACTAATGAGCTCTTGAGTGGAAAACCTTCCTCTGATCCTCAGCATTTCTACAGCTGCCATAGAGGGACCATTTACTAAGTGAATTGTGCATGGCTGGTGTCTAATAGCACACATAATTTAATTTCTAGATGATATACTAACTCTCAGGATACTTTGATATACAGTATATTGCCAAAGTTGGCATAAATACTGAAAAAACTCAGTGACAAATTATCTAAATTTCATCAGGAAGAAAACATTGCATCCTAATAACTTTTCTGAGCTGTTCATATATTTCTTTCAAAACAAGGCTTTAAAGGAAGCTTTAGACTTACCAATTAATTCACCACTTTTTGTCCTTTCAGTAGGTTATCATCACACCTGAGGATTACAGAGCATGCCCCCATTGTTGCTTTGCATTTTGTTTTTTCTTCACCTTTAAAGACATACTGGTGGGGAACAGGAGGCACTGATCAGACTTCAGCAGGGGCTGAGTTATTTATTGGTGGAATAGGAGGATACCACCTTTATTTACTTTTTAGGCTTTGTTAGGTTCCAAAGAGAATTGACAGGTGAATGCTTTAGTTGTGGCTATATTTAGAACACATGTAGTAGCTAAGGAGGTCTTTGAGAGGACAGAAAATTTCTCTTAAATGGAATCCCAACCCATGGCAGCTTAACTTTCCAGTTACTAGGTAGAACTGCCACCCCGAATGCACTTCCACTGAACTAGTGCAGCCCAGTCTGAGGCTTCAAGTGCACTCATTCAAATTGCCGGACCTTACTTTTAGCCTGACTGTATTGTGAATTCTGTTTCAGTTATTTTCAGATGCATCTGTTCATATGTATAACTATTACTTATTTTCCATTTCACTTGGAATGTTATTATATGACTGTATCACAATGTATGCCTTCATTCTGCTGTTGGTCATTTGGACTGGAGTATTTTGCTCATTTGCATTGGTCATCATTGTTAATATATGTGCAATTTATTTATTGGAACTATTTTTCGTCTTCCCCTTTCATCTGCTTTCTTGATTTTTACTTTTTAAAAACTCTTCTTTTTCAATCACAGTCCACATTCAATATCATTTTGTTCCAGCCTCAGATACACCACAAAGTGGTCTCCCTGCTGCCCCAAGCACCCACCTGGCCTCAGACATAGTTATGACATTATCAACCACACTCCCCGTACTGCAGTCTACATCTCTGTGCCTGTTCTGTAACTACCAATTTATACTGCTTAATCCCTTCACCTTTTTCACCCAGCTCCCCAACACCCTTCCTCTTTGACAACTGTCGGTCTGTTCTCGGTACATGAGTCTATTTCTATTTTGTTTATTTTGTTCATTAGATTCCACAGATAAGTGAAATCATATGGTATTTGTATTTGTTGTTCTCTGTCTGACTTATTTCATTTAGCATATTACCCTCTAAATCCATCCATTCTATCACAAAAGGTATGATTTCATTCCTTTTTACAGCCAAGTAGTATTCCATTGTGTATATGTACCACAGTTTTTTATCCACTCATTTGTTGATAAGCACTTGGGTGCTTCCATGGCTTTGCTATTGTAAATAATGCTGCAATGAACACAGGAGTGCATATATTCTTTCAAACAGTGTTTCAGGTTTCTCCAAATATTTTCCCAAAAGCGGAATCGGTGGATCATAAGGCAATTCTGTTTTTAATTTTTTGAGGAACCTCCATACTGTTTTCCTTAGCAGCTGCACCAATCTGTACTCTCACCAATAGAGCACTAGGGTTCCCTTTTCCCCAGGTCCTCCCCAACACTTGTCATTTATAGATTTTTTTTTTTTTTTTATCCTCACCCGAGGACATTTTTCCATTTTTTTGTTCAGATAGAGCGGGAGGGAGAGGAAGAGAGAGAGAGAGAAAGAGAAATATCGATGTGAAGGGACACACTGAGTGGCTACCACCCTCACGACCAACCAGGGCCGGGGACAAACTGCAACCGAGGTACGTGCCCTAAGCGGTAACCGAACCCGGGTCTCTCTGTACCGCAGGCTGACGCTCCAACCGCTGAGCCAAACCGGCCAGGGCCATTTATAGATTTTTTGATGATAGCCATTCTGACAGGTGTGAGGTGATATCTCATCATGGTTTTGATTTGCATTTCTCTGGTGATTAGTGATGTTGAGCAACTTTACCTATGTCTGTAGGCCATCTGTCTATCTGTTTTTAATAGAAAAAGATTTACAAAATCATAATTTGTCTCCTTTGGGTGTTAGTATGGACAAATCATGTCCAAAGTACTTGTCAACTTAGTTCCTGTAGGTGATAGACAAGTGTCTTTTTTCTCCCTCTTTCTTTTTTCTACTTTTAATAAAGAAATACAATAAATAGTATTAGAAGTTTCTACAGCCAAAGTCAGCTTTTTATTTCCATTCCACGTGTAAATTTTTGCTTTGGTTTATTTATTTCCACAGCTGTATGATATTCTGTAGTATGTCTATTCCACAATTCATCACCTTTTCTCTTGGTGGACATTTGGGCTATTCTGGATTGTTTTCCTCTTTCAAATAATTCTGCAGTATATTCTCCTGCATGACTTCTTACTGCTTACTTTTTTGTTCTCTAGTTGTTTGTCTTTCATTCTATTTTGTTCTCCTATTTGGAAGTACTGCCATCTAATTTAAGGTTGCTTTTTTCCTCTCTGCCACTTATTATGCATTTTTAAATTCTAAAGCTAATAAATGTTTGTTTTCTTTCTCAACAATAGAAGGACCTATGAAGTTAAACTCTGGTCACCCCTCCGAAACGCTGGTTAAGGTTTAGCTGGTACATGAGGTCAGAATCCAGCAAGCTTTTACTTCTTCAAGAGGAAAAACCAAATCTATCAGAAATAGTGATTATTGTTGACTTATTGTAGATTTCACTGTAAAGGATAAGAATGGGTTTTACATGACACATTTTGTAGAATTTTCATCCCTAACTTTCATCTCTTTAAACTACTTCCCCTTATGGCTACCACTGTTTCTGTTTCTGGCTGCTCTAAGCTGTGGCTTTTATTAATACTGCCCTTTATCCTTCTCCTTCTCCTTCTCCACAAGTATTCCTGGGAATATACCACTCCTTTTCTAATGCACTGCAATTTATTTCTGTCCCTTATGTGTAGTCCTGAAAATATTACCCTCTTTGAAATCTAATTTCTTTAAGAGGAGACAGAAATTATATGATTATGGTTTTTCTTATTCTTATGTGTTGACTTTCTTCCCTGTGAAATAACTGAAATCTGGTTATTTGGGGATATAATTACATAGGTATTTTAGAAAATGGTGGTAATATAAAAATCCTTTGTATACTATAAACTGTGTTTATCTTTTACTGATCGATTGATGATTGATTATCTTTTATTTATTACAAAGGCCAGAGCTGACTATCTTCTGAGCTCTTCTTTAAGATAAATACACATCTGATACTTTATCATATGATTCTTTCCGCAGTGAAAATACTTTGTTCTCTGGACTGGATCATGATCCAAGTTGTCCCAAGTACACACAGCGGATATCGCTATATATTCCATGATGAATTACACCTGGGAATGAACTGTCCCGTGACTCGGATACAAACATATGTGTATGACTTTGTATATCGTGTTAATGACTGTGGTATCAGGACACAGGTGAGAACAGTGATTATTTATAAAAATAATATAAATAATTTTTCAGACCTTTATGCCTAGTGCTAAAATTGTTTTTTTCTTTTAAAGAATACATGTTGCTCCTACTTGTAATGATTTATGAATAGATAACAACACAGTTCCTTACTTATTATTCATTGACTATTGGCCATCTACATGCATAGGACCTTAACGGCACAGATTAACAGACTAGTTAGGGAACTAACCTGAAGTTATCTTCAGGCTACCATTGTATTTCACTACATTTTAGCTGGCAATTTTAAAATTTCATTGACAGCTCATAATCCGGTAGGTCCCCAGTCAGGAGCAGGTATATCACACTGAACTTTAGCTCACTGGAACCTGCCCATGTTCTGTCTATGAGGACGTATATCAATATGAGGAGTAGATGTTCATTGGAATAGAACCTGCCAGTTATTTGGCTGGCACAAAACTTAAACTTTATTGTTATCCTGAGATATAATTTTTAAATAGATTTTCAAATTTAAACACTTTATAGGCATACTACAAAAATATTTCAGGGCAACGACTAATTATAGCGGTCACTTATAAATAAGACCTTGTCTTTATTTTAGAAAGAAGGGAAGTGGAGCTTGGAAGGTGCTTTAGCAATTGGCCTATGCACCGGGATGGTGATAGTTTAGATGCCAGACCAGGATATTATCCCCGAAAGCTTATGCTTTGAACCATATTTGAGCTCCAACTATCTTTCTCAAAAGAACTGTAAACCACAAAGGTGGCTCCAAGTGGCATTTTAAGTGGCTTCTAGGTACTAGTAAAATTATTTCCCCAGGTACTTTAAATTCACTCTTCCAGATAACACTCCTCCTCTGCCCCAGAGGGTTGTCAGACCTTCACAGGCACCTACAGGAGACAGGAGCCATTTCTGCGAGCTTGCTCGATCCCCACCGCCTGTTCACAAGCGCGTGTGTCTCCCGTCATGGAAATGTCTTTTGCTTAAACCATGTGCTCTCCTAGGTTGTTTCAGAGGATACTATCCTTTTCCAAACTGAGTTGTATTATAACCCAAGGGATCTAGGTCACAACTGTCACAAAATCCCTCTGGAATGTTCTACCACCAGGTGAGTCGAATAGATCAAACTCCAGTTCCTGTATGTGTGTGTATATGTATATATGTATATATATGTATGTACATATGTGTATATATGTATGGGTATATGTATATATGTATCTATATATATACTTGTGATTCACCCACAAGCCTAACTCCAAACACTAAATCAACATTTACAAAAATATTTAATGAATATGCTTGTATTTTGTATTTTTTAAATGTAATATTCATTTTAGAATGAAAACATATACAATCCAGTGTAAGTAGGTTATTTTACAGTAACTGAACTACAAAGCAGAGTCATTACATACACATAGTCACATTAGTAAGTGGAAGAATCAAGCATGATATTATCTTTCAAAGCTTCCTCCTTCATGATACTTTCTGATACATTTCATGGCTCAGTTCAATGTTGGGAGAGTAAATGGCTAAAATATGAAGAAAAAATCAATCTTTTATTTTTATACTAAGTCATAGAGATACATGAAGGGAAGAGCTTATCAGCCTAATAATTTTTTCCTTGTCTTTTAAGAAACTTATCTTTATTGTTGAAAGTATTACAGATGTCCCTCTTTTTCCCCACACTGACACACTCCTCCCCTCTCCTGCCCCACCCCAACCCCAGCCTTCAACACAATGTTGTCTGTGTCCATTGGTTATACATATATGCATATCAGTTCTTTGATTTATCTCTTCCCAGCTCTCCCACCCTCCATCCCTCTGAGGTTTGTCAGTCTGTTCCCTACTTCATGTCTCTGGATCTATTTTGTTCGGCAGCTTATTGTGTTAATTATATTCTACATAAAAGAGATGATGTGATATTTGTCTTTCTCTGACTGACCTATTTCACTTAGCATAATACTCTCCAGGTCCCTTCATGTGGTCTCTAAGTGCAAGAGATCTCTCTTTCTTATAGCTGCAGAGTATTCCATTGTGTAAATGTACCACAGGTTTTTTATCCACTCATCTACTGATGGACACTTGGGCTATTTCTAAATCTTAGCTATTGTAAATAGTACTGCTATGAACATAGGGGTACATATATTCTTCCTGATTGGTGTTTCAGGCTTCTTAGGATGTATTCCAAGAAGTGAGATCATTGAGTCAAATGGCAGCTCCATTTTTAATTTTTTTGAAGAAACACCATATTATTTTCCATAGTGGCTGCACCAGTCTTATTTCCATCAGCAGTGTACTAGAGTCCCCTTTTCTCAACATCTTCAACAGAACTTGTTTGAAGATTTGTTGATGGCAGCCATTCTGGCAGGTGTGAGGTGGAGGTGATACCTCATAGTTGTTTTTCTTTGCATCTCTCTGATGATTAGTGACATTGAGCATTTTTTTCACATGTCTCTCGGCCATTTGTATGTCCTGTTTGGAGAAGTGTCTATTCAGGTCCTCTGCCATTTTTTAAATTGGATTGTTGGCCTTCCTTTTGTTGAGTTGTATGAGTATTCTATATATTTTGGAAATAACCCCTTATTTGCTATATCATTGGCAAATATTTTCTCCCATACAGTGGGTTCCCTTTTCATTTTGATGTTGGTTTCTTTTGCTATACAGGAGCTTTTTAGTTTGATGTAGTCCCATTTATTAATATTTTTCTTTGTTTCTCTTGCCCTTGGTGATGTATTGGTGAAAATTCTGCTACAAGTGATATCTGAGATTTTGTTGCCTACATTTTCTTCTAGGATTTTCATGGTTTCACAACTTACATTTAAGTCTTTTATCCATTTTGAGTTTATTCTTGTGTATGGTGTAGGTTGGTCTGGTTTCATTTTTTTAGATGTACCTGTCCAATTATCCCAGCACCATTTATTGAAGAGACTGTCTTTACTCCATTGTATGCTCTTGCCTCTTTTGTCAAATATTAATTGAGCATAATATCTTGGGTTGATTTCTGCGTTCTCTATTTTTTTCCATTGATCTATTTGCCTGTTTTTGTGCTAGTACCAGGCTGTTTTGATTACATTGGCTTTGTAGTATAACCTGATATCCCACATGGTAATCCCTCCTACTTTGTTCTTCTTTCTCAAGACTGCCATGGCTACTAGTATTCTTTTTGGTTCCATATAAACTTTTGGAGCATTTGTTCTAGATCTGTGAAATATGCCATTGGTATTTTAATAGGGATTGCATTGAATCTATAGATTGCTTTGGGTAGTATGAACATTTTAATGATGTTGATTCTCCCAATCCATGAACAGTGTATATGCTTTCACCTTTTTTTAAAATCCTCTCCTGAGGATATTTTTCCAGTGATCTTCAGATAGTGGGAGGGAAGAAAAGAGAGAGGAAGAGAGAGAGAGAAACATCAGTGTGAGATAGACACACAGATTGATTGCCTCCCACATGACCCCAACCAGGGTCCAGGATTGAACCACAACTGAGGTACGTGCCTTTGATCAGAATGGAACCCATGACTTCTTTTTTCTGTGGGTGAGCACTCTAACTGCTGAGACAAACTGGCCAGGACTGCTTCCACTTTTTTGTATCTTCCTCTATTTCTTTTTTCAATGTCCTTTAGTTTTCTGAAAATAGGTCTTTTACCTCATTGGTTGTTTATTTCTAGGTAGCTGAATTTTTTGTTGTTGTTGTTGCAATGGTAAATGGATTTTTTTTTAGTTTTTTTAGTTTCTCTAAGTGTTCATTATTGGTGTATAAAAATGCCATCAATTTCTGGATGTTAATTTTGTATCCTACTACTTTGCCAAATTCATTTATTAAATCTAGCAGTTTTTTGGTGCAGTCTTTAGGGTTTGCTATGTATAATATCATGTTATCTGAGAATAATGACAGTTTCACTTCCTCCTGTCCAATTTGGATGTCTTTTATTTATTTTTTCTTGTCTAATTGCTGTGGCTAAGACTTCAGTATTATGCTGAATAAGAGTGGTGAAAGTGGACATCCCTGTCTTGTTTCTGTTCTTAAGGAAAATGCTTTTATTTTTTGCCCATTGAATATGATGTTGGCTGTAGGTTTGTCATATATGGCCTTTATTGTGTTGAAGTGTGATCCCTCTATTCCCACTTTGCTGAGAGTTTGTTTTACAAATAAGTGCTGGATTTTGTCAAATGCTTTCTTTTTAGCATCTATTGATATGATCATATGATTTTTGTCTTTCATTTTGTTTATGTGGTGTATCATATTTTCTGACTTGTGAATATTATAACAGCCTGCATCCCTGGGATAAATCCCACTTGGTCATGGTGAATAATTTTTTAAATATATTGCTGGATCTGATTTGCTAATATTTTGTTGAGGGTTTTGGAGTCTATGTTCATCAGGAATATTGGCCTATAATTTTTTTTATTTGTGATGTTTTTATCTGGTTTTGAAATTAGGATTATGCTGGCCTAAAGTCTTCCTTTCTCTTGAATTTTTTGGAATAGTTTGAGGAGAATATGTGTTAGTTCTTCTTTAAATGATTTGTAAAACTCCCCTGTCAAGCCTTCTGGACCAGAGCTTTTGTTTGCTGGGAGTTTATTGATCACTGTTTCAATTTCCTTAGTTGTTATTGGTGTGTTCAGATTTTCTGACTCTTCCTTGTTAAGTTTTAGAAGCTTGTTTGATTCTAGGAATTTGTCCACTTTTCCCAGGTTGTCCAATTTGTTGGCATATAATTGTTCATAATATTTTCTTACAATCCTTTGTATCTCTGTGGTGTCAGTTATTACTTATCCTCTTTTGTTTCTTTTTTTTTTCCCCTCACTTCAGGACATTTTTGCATTTATCTTCAGATAGAGCAGGGGGGAGAGAGAGGGAGGAAGAGAGAGAGAGAAACATCGATGTGAAAGAGATACATCAAGTGGCTGCCGCCTACACGACCCTAACCGGGGCTGAGGACAAACTGCAACCAAGATACGTGCCCTTAGCAGAAACTGAACCCAGGACTCTCTGGTCTGCAGGCCGATGCTCTAACCACTGAACAAAACCGGCCAGGGCCTCTTTTGTTTCTGATTTTATTTTATTTATTTATTTTTTCCTTTTTATTGAATTTATTGGGGTTAACTGATAAACAAAAAAATATAGGTCTCAGGTGCACAATTCCACAGCACATCACCTGTACACTGTATTGTACGTTCATCACTCCGAGTCAAGTCTCCTTCCATCACCATTTACCCTGCATACCCTACTCAACCTCTCCCACCCCACCCCATCTCCCTTGGCAATCACACTATTGTCATGTCCTTGAATTTTTTCTCTTTTATGCTCAATCCCTGCACCCCACCCCCCACAGCTGTCAGCTGGCTCTCTATCTATGAGTCTGTCTCTATTTTGCTTGTTAGTTCATTTTGTTCGTTAGTTCTAACACTTTTTTTTTCATATTTTATTTTTAATTTTTTGTTATTTTCTTTTTAAAAATTTAATTAATTTATTTTTGTTACAGATGTTTCTCATTTTCCCCCCACTGATTCCTCCCTCCCCCTCCCTGTTTCTGATTTTATTTATTTGGGTCCTCACTTTTTGTTTCTTGGTGAGTCTGGCTAAAGGTTCAGCAAACTTGTTTATCTTTTCAAAGAACCATCTCTTGGTTTCATTGACCTTTTTCTATTGTTTTTGGTCTCTCTGTCAATTATTTCTGCTCTGATCTTTATTATTTCCTTTTATTTACTCTGAGGTGTTTTTTTTTTTTTTAATCCTCTAATTTTTCGAATTGTAGGATTAGATAGTCTATTAGAAAATTTTCTTGTTTCTTGAGGTAGATCTGTAATGCTGTGAACTTCCTTCTCAGGACTGCTATGTCCCATAGATTTTGTATTGTTGTGTGTTCATTTTCATTGGTTTCCAGAAAGTTTTTGATTTCTTCCTTGATCTCATTGGTAACCCATTTCTTGTTCAATAACATGCTATTTAGCTTCCATGTGTTTGAATGCTTTTAAAGTGGTGCTAGGCCACCCAGATCTTCTCTCTTTGCTTCCATATGCCTGAGTCTCCTTTCCTCCACCAGAGCCCCAGGTGAGTGCCCCAGAGTCCCTAGGCATTAGTCTTTAAGGAGTTCACCTGGGATGCAAGCAGGCCCACTCCCCTTACTGGTAGCACACTCCCTGATTATTTTTACTGTCAAATGTTATGCAGGCTTTTCTTCCAGGCCCAGGTGTTCTGGGTTGGGGATCCTGGTGTGGGACTGAGACCCCCACTTTCCTCCAGGGGGGCTTTTTCAGGCACAATATTTCTCTTGTGTGCTGGGACCAACCCTTTCTGCATCTCTGCCCTTCTTACCAGTCTCTGTGTAGCCCCCTCCCCCCGTTCCTTGGATATAGTACTCCAGTTCAGGTGACCTTCTGTTGTTAATTCAGGTTAATTGCTCTAAAGTTTAGCTGTAACTCCAGTTTGATGCTGGGAGGAGGTGTGTGTTGCTTTCACCTGTTCCACAGCCATTTTTTTCCCTCTGACTTATCAGTCTAATAATTAAATGCACTTTGCTTACAATTTTGTGAAGCAGACATTGAATCCTAAAAGGACCCCACATTGAACTTTGAGACCAGTGGAATGACATCCTGGTACACATTGAACATCTCACTGAAACTTGTACATTGTTACAAATTTGAATGATAAATTTGGAAACCACCTGAAAACCACAGGAAAATTCTATTTTTATTTACTATATGAAAATAGTTGATACCAAAATCAGAATGTAGAACTCAGAGCTAATGTGCAATATCTTTTAGCTTGATCAGAGTACTCTTGGGATGGGGTGGAGAGAGAATTTCTTTTTTAATTGTGGTAAAATATATGTTAAAAGGGCTAAAATGCTAAGTTTTATCTTTAGTGTGTAGTTTAGTGGCATTAAGTACAACTACATTGTTGAATACCTTTGACCTTCCCTTTAACTTACTTTCATAGGGCGAAAAAAGCTGAGGGATTTAGTCACACACACACACACACACACACACACACACACACACACACACACCCTCCCTTGCCACCACTGCACTGGGTCAGATTAAACTTTTGACAGCTTTTTGTTGTTGTTAATCCATTGATTTTTTAAAAAAAAAGTGAAGAGGAGAGAGGGAGGAAGTAGAGAAGGGAGGGGGGAGAGAAGGAGAGAAAGAGAGAGACATTGAGATATCGAGACATCAAGACATCAGTGTGAAAGAGACACATTGATTGGTTGCCTCCTGCTTGCAGGGATTGAACCTGCAACCCAGGTATGCGCCCTTGACAAAGAAGTGAACCCTCGACCCTTAATGCATGGGCCAATGCTCTAACCACTGAGCACACTGGCCAGGGCTTGCTTTTGACACCTTTTATTTGCCATTCTTAGGATCCATTTGTATAAGTCTGGGCCCTGTGGTACTCTGCTAATGCAAGTGTTGTAAATCATCCTCATCCAGAAGGTGCAGGCGCTGTTCTGCACTCCCGAAACAAGCTGAAAATGACCATAGTGTTCGGAAGTGGCAGAAATAAAAATAGTTTGGGTCCAAGTTTAGACTCAGAAAGACTTGGTACCAAGTATGTCAACTCTATCTGATTTCTGTTTTCCTCTTCTTTAGGAAATCAGTGTGGCTTACACCAGTTTCTACAGATGAAGTAACGTTGCCTCCCAGTCCCTTTATTGCTGACTTTCAGACAATACCAGAAGAGTTAGGATTATTAAGTTTGAATTAAACTGACTCCCTCCTTAAGAAAAAATGAACACTTGAAATTGGCATCATGAATTTTGCTAGAAAACAATTTTTTGTTTTTCTGTACAAAAAATAATTGGTATAAATCTTTTCTTAGGTATCTGATCCTTAAAAAAATCCTAATTCAGTGAAAGTCCTGATTCGGTGAAAGTATATTTTTAGATACTATTATTCATGATGGGTATGGCTTATTCATTTAATATAAACTATTAGGTACTTCTTATTACCCATTTACATTTTATTTTCTGTTCTATATGGTAAATTCAGCAATATGTCCTCAATGACAATAGTTTGATCTAGTTTATATGAACCTCCAAAAACTGTTCTAAGTATTTGTTTAGTAAGAATAAAAAATAGAGGTGTGTGAATGTGCCAGAGACTAAAGTGTGTGCAGAATTTAAAATGTAATACACGAACTCCCAGGAGAGAGAGTCCTTTTGTGTGAAGATGCTTTGTGTGTGTTCTAATGAATCAGTAACGTTGAGTCCTAAAAATAATGTCCACCCTATGTGAGTAATCATTGCAGAAGAAATTGAATTTATCTTCTAGAATTTAAGAACCCCTCCCTTAACAGAAATTTGATGCCAGGTTTTGCTTTCTCCACCATACGATTCTTCCCTACTTGAAATACTTGACGGGTTGAGGCGGACAAGCACAGCATTGTCCTGCCACTTCAGAGCAACTCCTTGGCAGATCTCCTGTGGCCAGTTGTTTGTACCCTCTTCTTCTCACTGAAGAGGGAGTCTGGCCAGGAGCACACCAACAAATCACTTCTGACTTTGGAGAGATTTCTTCTGTTCAGTTGCTCACTGAAAAGCACATTTTGGATGCTACGTTCTTCTTAGATTGTGCTAAGATATTTTTCATTCAGTTTTTAAATAAATTTAGAGGGCTGCTATCTTATTTTTAATACATTGTTGCTTATGGCTGCTGTTGACTTGTCAAAGAATTCAAGCATTGTCGTAACGGGCCTATCCTTTAGCACTTAAGACACAGGTAATAGGCGACACTTCTGTAAGGCTTAAAATGTATGTCAGGTAATTCTCCCAGTGTATTGTGACAACTTATTTAATCCTAATAAACCAAAGTTATACATTACTATTAATGTGAGGATCTTTGTTGCTAAGACCCGGGCATCCACTTTGTCATTGAATGACTATTTTCTAAGGTGGGTACTAGGAGCTTAAATTTACAAAGGAGGTCACTGTAGTGATTGTTAGTGAGTGTCTCCTATACAAGGCAAGAAAGAAGTCTGTCAAGGTCTGAGGCCTCCACGGTAAGCCTTGTGCAGTCCCTCTTCCCCTGTTTTTAATCTGTTAAAGGTGTCGCCCAGTGGGCCACAGAAGATGTCTACAGAGCTTTCTTCTTGGTTGCTAAGTAGAGATTTGAAACATTGAGCTCTAAGGATGGCTTCCTCTTAAAATTTGATTGTACCATGGTAAAAAAGAAATGTTATATGTAATTATATAGTTATTTGGAAAAATGTGGGCATGCACACACATATATGCAGACATATACCCATTATATATATTATATCCAAATGGCTGCACCCACGTTCTGCTGCCAGATCTGGTAATGAGGGGCAGTCTGGACACACCTGAGGTATGGAATTTTGTGAGTGAGTTTCTGCATAAACTCAAGGGAACAGTATAAGGTAAAGATACTCCAGGGGCATCCAGGTTCTGATCCCTAGCTCCTCAAAATGCTGGCTGTGTGGCCTTGGGCAAGTTACTTAACTCCTCTGATGCTCAGCTTCCTCACGTGTAAAATGGGAAAGATAACAACAGTATCGTTTCAAATGGATGTTGTGAGAAATAAGTTAGTTAACATGAGAACACTTAGAACACACACTGAAATCTAGATAAGTGAACTTAACTGGTGGGTTCTTAGAAAATCGACATTTCCTCCATTAAAAAAAAAGCTAACTGGACATATTATAGAACATATTTTACCTGAAGGCTGAAAATTTTCCCTGATATTTATAGTTATTTTTAAAAGTCAAATCAAATAATGTGGATAGAGTCTGGCTGGTGTGACTCAGTGGATTAAGTGTCGTCCAGTGATCTGAGAGGTCCTGGTTCCATCCCTGGGTTTCGGGCTCGATCCCCAGTAGGGGGCATGCAGAAGGCAGCTGATTGATGCATCTCTCTCTCTCCAAAATAAAAACATTGAACAAAAATGTGGTTAGAATCATTTTCCTTTCACTAGAACTACTCTGGAGTTTCTCTATATAAGAGACTCTGATCCTTGTAAATGTATTTCCCATCATTCATGAGGCATGGAGACATCAGGCTGGATCAAACGTTCATTCATTTACGAAACACGTATTAGCTGAGTGCCCACCATATGACAGACTCTGGGCTAGGCACTGGAGTTAGTGATGAGAAATCAGATACAGATACGTATCCAGTCAATCGGGGCTCAGGCTGGTAAGTAGGATAAGAAGGGAAGTAGAAGGAATTCAGAGTAACATCCATCAAAGTATGACACGTATTGAGATTCAGTCTGGAAAAAGAAGAAATGATCTAGATGGAGCTTGAGGGGGAATGTGTTTCAGGAGGAGGGGAATAGTACTGAGAAAGGTTCACGACTGGGAGAGCTTGACTGGAAGAAAAAAGGCTGGACTGAACTTAGAGACCAGGAGGGGTGAGGAATGAAGCTGAAGAAGCGGTTGAATATCTGATCATGAAGGAGTAATGCTTTGCATGTTACATGCATTTTAGTGTATTAGATATTTTATCTCAAGTATACACCTATTTCCCAACAGATCAAGTTTAAGCCCTGGCCTTGCAAGGTGATGTTCAACATAGATGAGAGAGGAACTAAAAATTTTCTACTTTTGGTCATTCTTCTTATTGTGCATCTTGTGCAGAATATATTAGGTTTTCATTAAAATAGAATTTGTTGTCAACTTTTATGATCTTACCTTATTCTTTTTTTTCCCCTCACCCGAGGACATTTTTCCATTTTTTTGTTCAGGTAGAGTGGGAGGGAGAGAGAGGAACAGAGAGAGAGAAACATCGATGTGAAAGGAACACCTGGCCGGGGACAAACTGCAACCGAGGTATGCGCCCTTAGCGGGAACCGAACCCGGGTCTCTCAGGACCGCAGGTCGACGCTCTAACCGCTGAACCAAACCGGCCAGGGCTCTTCCCTTATTCTTGTACTCCGAGTACAGTGTTGAGCATGGGAGACATGGGCCTCTTGTTATTTTACATTTATCAATGCTTAAATAGAGCATGTACCTTTACGCTAGCATTAAAAAATCAGTATCGCTAGGAAACTTTTATGAGAGGTAAAATAGCAATTACCAATACGATAAAACTGAAATGTGGCCTGGCCAGTGTGGCTTGGTGGATTGAACGTCTTCCCATGGACTGGGAGGTCCCAGTTCAAGTCTGGTCAGGGCACGTGCTCGTGTTTCGGGCCCGATCGCCAGTAGGGGGCGTGCAGGAGGCAGCCAATCAATGTTTCTCACATTGATGTTTCTCTCCCTTCCTCTAAAAAAATCAATAAAAACATATTTTAAAAAAATGTTGAAATGTGTTCTGACCTTCACTTTCTTTAGTTCCTTAACGATTGAATAAGTGTGATATATGCCCCCTACAATAAAGAACTGGAAAGTTAAGTATTATCTAAAAGGAAATGTCATGGACTTATTTTGACAAAAACTAGTCAAATTATTAGAAACTGGATCTGCCGTAAATTTTTCAGGAAAAAAAAAAAAAAGAAATTAAGATACTATTCTAAACTCAAAGTCAGTATTTTGGCAGAATTCATTAGTGCTCAATGGTTTACGTTAATCTCATACAATCCACCTCATAAGTGGTAAAAGCGTATACGCATGTTGTGCTTATTTTGTCTTGGAGAACAGAACGCACTGGGAAGTTACATTGTTCAAGATTAAATGAGCATACTGTACTGTATATATTTTATTTTATTTTATTTTATTTTATTTTATTTTTTAATCCTCACCCGAGGATATTTCTCCATTTTTTGTACAGACAGAGTGGGAGGGAGAGAGAGGAAGGGAGAGAGAGAGAGAAACATCGATGTGAAAGGGACACATCGAGTGGCTGCCACCCGCACGACCAACCAGGGCCGGGGACAAACTGCAACCGAAGCACGTGCCCTTAGCGGGAACCGAACCCGGGTCTCTCCGGACCGCAGGCTGACGCTCTAACGGCTGAGCCAAACTGGCCAGGGCTACTGTATATATTTTAGTGATGCATATTTTTTTAGCTGCCATGATTGAGGTGGTTGTTTGGTGACCCTTATACAAAATACTTTAAGTCCTTTTTGACAAAAGGCAGAATATAAGTTAAAAGTCACCATTTACCAGCTCTTTATTAGGTAAGGGTTTTATACATCATCAGAGCTGCCCTTTGCAATGTTAATATGAAATAAAATTATTTTCATTTTATTGACATGAAAATTGAGTTCCCATTACTGGATCATACAACTAGTACGTGGCCAAATTTGGATTTGAACTTGACTCTTCCATAATGCTTGAACTCTTTGCTAACTAGAAAGTTATCTTCTATAGAGTACTACATGATATTAGAATTTTTAAAAATATTGAACCTTGGCCCTGGCCGGTTTGACTTGTGGTTAGACCGTTGGTCTGTGGACCAGAGAGTCCTGGGTTTGGTTCCCGCTAAGGGCATGTACCTCAGTTGCGATTTGTCCCCTGCCTCGGTTAGGGTCGTGTGGGTGGTGATCACTTGATGTGTCTCTCTCACATCAATGTTTCTCTCTCTCTTCTTCCCTCTCTCCCTCCCACTCTATCTGAAGATAAATGCAAAAATGTCCTCAGGTGAGGATAAAAAAAAAAAAAGTTGAACCTTAAAGTAGAATATTCTGCTAGAATCTGTACTCACTTATGAGGTGAATAAGTTTTGATGAGTTGCTCAACCTCTCTGTGCCTTGATTTTCTCATCTTTAAAATGGGAATGAGAATACTGCAACAAAGAGTTGTTGGGAGTATTAAATACAAGGTGGAGCAAAAGCAGGTTTACAGTTGTAAATACATGAAACAGTTTATTCTTGTATTATTATTATTATTATTATTATTATCATCCTCATCCGAGGACATTTTTCCATTTTTTGTTCAGATAGAGTGGGAGGAAGAGAGAGAGAGAAACATCGATGTGAAAGGGACACATCGAGTGGTTGCCACCCGCATGACCCAACCAGGGCCAGGGACAAACTGCAACTGAGGTACGTGCCCTTAGCGGGAACCAAACCCGGTTCTCTCTGGACTGCAGGCCAACGCTCTAATCGCTGAGTCAAACCGGCCAGGGCTTCTTGTATTATTATTTACTGTATTATTTTCCATACAAACAACTGTAGACCTACTTTTGCCACACCCTGTATGTTAAGAACTCCATGGCAACTAGACAGTGCCTGGTACCACAGCATCAGTAACTACTCAATAAATGACACCAATCATTATTACTGGAGTATGACTAAAGCCACCTTCTTCACATAAGAGATCACTGATCAATAAACATCATATGCGTGGTTGTCCAGGATTGATTTGAACAGAGGCAGGGACTATATAATATATACATGAATGTAAAAATGAGAAAGGAATTGCTCTCTGCTGTTCCAAAATCAATTAACTACCCAGGCCTACCAGAGTGACTTCATGATGTCCACTACTCCAAGACAAGATGGAATCCATGTAAACACTCGATTATTCTGCCTTCCCTGCCCCATATGTGCAGAGTCACTGTGATGTATGGACAGAGTTGAACTGTTCTATTCACCCAAAAACATTATTAGCTAGTGGTAAAGGGGGGTGGAATCAATCCTTTGGATCTCTTTCTTATCAACAGCCATCAACAGGCCCATGTTCTCCCAAGAAGTTGGTAGGGCAGAGCTGGGGCAGCCACAGCAGGAAGCCCGGTGGAACCAGAGGTGGTGAATAATTCTATCTGCCAGCCCACTGAGATATCACAAAATTACCAGAAAGGGCAACTACAAGCCCTGGGGGTAAGTCAGCTTTAGTTAAAAAATTGGCTTAAGATGGAAGAAAATAACTATCATGTGGAAATTTTTGTTTACGTCCTTAGGAGGAATTACTGAGTTACTCATCACAGCATCGACGACATTGCACCTTTAAGAAAAAACCGGGGTGTATTTTAGACCTAGGAGTAGAAATGCAGAGGCATAATCTCATGGTAGAAAATATCTTATCAATATTGTCCAGTAGACTCTTCTCAGGAGGCTCATAGTTAATACTTTACATTTAAAAATTGAGTTGAGGGAAAGATTGAGTAGAACGTTGCCTAATGTCTGTCTGGCTTCATCATATAAGGGCTGGGAAGGTAGTCTGATTAATTTATGTTATCAGCCACATCTCCTTTACTCTTCTGCTACTTTCCAAATGGAGTCTGTGAGAGTGGATAGAAGTGAGGGGAGAAGTGCAGATGAAGGGTTGCCACCAGGATTGGGGGGAACAGGACAGAACAAAAACCTCCTAGGGTAGCTCTTGCCCAATTATCTAGGCTTGACTCTAACCATTTCAGGCACTGATATCTCCTTTCTGAGGAAAAGTTCATTGGTCTCTTCTCAGTGTTTACTAATATATAACCATTACGCTTTTTTTTTCTTCTTCTTCTTCTTCTTACAGGCCATCCGGATCCTGAATGGGGCAATTATTCTGGTTCTGGGTGTTTTTCTGGATTCTTTACAAAACGTACCCCATCTCTTCCAGCACTTTTTGTTTTGTTTTTGTTTTTTTACTTTATACACAGGCTATCCACTATGGGGCGCTGTATTTGTGAGTATTCAAATACCCTAACCCTAGACCATTTCTTGGACACCCCTGCTAGAAATGTGTTATTAAAGTTGTTCTTAGGTAATTTGAAGGTTGCAGTCTGTGGGTTTGATGTGTAATTCTCGACACAAACAAGTTTTAAAAACAAAGCACCTTGCTTTCTGATGAAAAGAAATCACATTGGCTGAGTATGAATGAAGTCCCAAAACTTAACTTAATAGTCATGGATTAAATGTATGGATAATAAGAAAATTAAATGAGCCTGGCTGGTGTGGCTCAGTGGTTGAGCATCAACCCATGCACCAAGAGGTCACCAGGTTGTGGGCCCGATTCCCAGTGGAGGGCATGCAGGAGGCGGCCAATCGAAGTTCTCTCTCACTGATGTTTCTCTCTCGCTCTCCCTTTCTCTCTAAAATCAATCAATAATTTTTTTTTTTTTTTAAAGAAAGAAAATTGAATGAAAAATGACTATTGGTGAACTGTCTTGTGGTACAGCCAAGAGAATCCTGGTTTGGGAGGGCCTGGTTTGGGAGAGGAGAGAACTTGCAAGTTTTGATGAGAAGTGGCCTTTCAAGTCCAGCTGGGGTATGAGATCACCTTCAGTTTACTCAGCCCAGACCCCAAGTCCGGTGATGTCCACTGGGACACCGAGAGAGCTGTCCGGCTCTATGTGCAGCCCTTTCTGAATGCCCTCAGTGTTGCTGGCAACTTCCCTGTGGACTCCCAGATCCTTTGCTCTGCAGCGCTGGGCGTACACCCCCGCTTTGACCCGGCTTCTTCCAGCTACTACTTGGCCGCACATAGCCATCCCCATATCATCAATCCAGGGGAGTCCCGCCTAGGTTCCGGCTGTCTGCCTTTACCCTGGGCTCCACTTTCTACTCTACGTACCTGAGCTTGCTCACTCCCCCCTGTACATTCAGGACGAGGATGGAGCTCTGGGGGCCACCAATGCCTTCCGCAGTCCCTGCTGGGGTGGCATTATGGTATACAATGTGGACCCCAAAGCCTACAATGCCTTGGAGCTGCTGGTGCAAGTCGAGGTGGACGTGGGGGGAGTGATGGAGGTGCTCCTGGCTCAGCTGTGGCTGCTCTTTGGGATTGCCCAGCCCCAGGTGCCTCCAAAATGCCTGTTTTCCAGGCCTAAGACTGAAGGGCTGATGACTTGGGAGCTAGACCAGCTGCGCTGGGCTTGGTCGGTGGAGAACCTGGCCACAGCCACCACCAGTCTCACTTCCCTGGCCCAGCTTCTGGGCAAGATTGGCAACATTGTCATTAAGGACCATGTGGCATCTGAGGAGTACAGGGCTGTAGCTGCAGTCCAGAAGGCAGCGGCGGAGTTGGCTTCTGCCTTTGTTGCCAGCCAGGACACTGTAACATCCTCAGAACATCCCTTTTTTGGTCCCTTGCTCCTCCACCTTCTCTATTTCCCTGGTGACAAGAAGTTTGCCATCTACAGCCCCCTCTTTCTGCCCATGGCTGTGCCCATCCTGTCTCTGGTCAAGGTCTTCCTGGAGACTCGCAAGTCCTGGAAAAAGCCTGAGAAGATAGACCGAGCAGGGCAGCATCTCAGTCAGAAGCCTTCCTTTCTGGCCAGGGTGGGAGGTGTTAGATTGAGAGGCACATAAATGGGGCCTGCTATGAATGACCGGTCTCCAGCCTCCTCTGTCGCCTGTCCAGCAACCAAAGTGTAACACTCCCAGATGGGTTCATCTTTCCTTCCCTTCCCGTGTCTCTGGCTGAGGTGTCCCATGCCCATCCTCAAAAGAGGCATCGTCTGGGTCTCCTTTCCTGGCTTGAACTTGAAGATCCTTTGCCCTCTGGGGCAAAGGCTGCTTGTGCATCTTCCCTCTTTCTCACAGTCTTCTTGTACCGAGAGGAAGCATTAGCGGAAATCTCTGGGTGGTTTTCTAGCTCCTTCCCTTCCACACTTTTCTCTGCCCCTCAGGGAGAGCCCCAGCAATGTGCCATGGAAGGGGCCAGGCACAGGTCACCTCTGGGCCTTCTCCCTGGCTATCCTCCCTCCTGACTAGCTGTGCCTGTGGGGTACAGCCTGATGCTGTGTGTGTGACAGAGGTTCCCTTCACCCTTTCATAGAGGCACTGAGACCAAGCTTGCCTGAATTCAAACCCAGGTTTCTGAACTTCTCATATGGGGAGCTCTGAGTAAGCTACTTAATCTCTCTGAGCCTCAGTTTCTTATTTGTTAAAATAGCACTGATGATACCTCCCTTACAAGGTAGTTGTGAAGATTAAATGTGATAAGCATTGGAAGTGTCTGGCATACTCTAGGCTCTCAATAAACACTGAATGTGAATTGAAATGATAAAAAAAATAAACAAATGTCTGTTCCTTCTCCATCTTCATTTCCTGATATTGTTTATGTTGGTCACTCCCCTCCATCCACCTTCCCTCCCTTGCTTCCCTGGAACCCACCTGAAACACTATGGCCTCAGGGCTTTGAACCAAGTGTTTCCTCGACTGCAAGGCCGTGCCTCCAGTTATGCTCAAGGCTGACTCCTTCAGGTCTCTAACGCCTCTCCCCACCTGTCATTCCTCTTCTCTATCACAAACCTCCATTCCGCTCTGGTTTCCATATCCTACTTACTGCACTCTGTTATCCCACAGCACCTAATTACCTTAAAAAATACTATATACTTCACCCCTGAGTATACTTCACTGTTTGTTGTTGTTATTGCTGCTAGAATGTAAGCTCTATGGGGGTGGAGATCTTTGTTCATTGATGTTTGCCCAGCATCTAGGATATTGCTGGTTGTGTAAACACTGTTCAATTGATATTTATTTAAAGGAATTATAGACAAAGGAATGAAGTATGTGCTGCCTATTTTAACTGAACATTCTTACTGTTTTATAGATGCAACACAATTTGGGGATGAATATTGCCAGTGCTACAATTGCACTATTAGGGTTTATTTTCCTGTCAATAGATTTAGCAGAGAACAGCTTGTCATTCAAGAGTTGTCAGTCTCCATTGTCACCGGACTTATGCATTTACATGGGCACCTCATCACATGTGTGTTTCAAAAATTATATTTAATTATGTAATATTTAAAACAATCTAAAATGTATAGTTACCATCCTGCTTTGATTTGAATCTTTAGTCTGCCATTTATTAGCTCTGTAATGGAGGGAAAATTAGATAACCTCTCTGTGTTTCAATTTTCTCATCTTTGAATGGAAGATAGTAATAGTAACAATCTCACAGGTAAGCAATTAAAATAGTGCTTACCACATTGAATTATATTATTATTAATATTACTACTACTACTACTAAAATACCCAGAGATTAAATTTTAAAAATGTTTTGTTTCACATCTTACTTCCTAAAATTAACTTGGAAGATTTACAAGTTCTTCTGTGGTCTGCAATTTTCAAATAATGACTCACTGAAGTTTTGGATGAGTTCACTTTTGAATTTATTTGAGTGTAGTATTTTCAGAGGAAAAGGTCTTTAATAGCCTTTTCAAATGATATTTTTTTGTTTGTGTTTAGGCATTCTCCTTCTGAGGTCAACTTGAAGATTGATATGTTTCTTTAAGTTGTCTATTTTCCCCATGATGATTTATGAACTATCATTTATTGACTCACTTCTGGTCCTCTTTTTGCTGATGCTACTCATGGAAATTTGTGTCTTCATTTTTTAATGTTTTTCATAATCTCAGTTTATATTTATATGGGTCTGCTTTTTCTGTAGAGATTTTAAGATTTTTTTCCCCTCCAGAGTAGTTTTTTTTTTTTTTATTAATTTATTTTTGTTATAGATGTTTCTCTTTTTTCCCCCATTGACCTCCTCCTTCCTGCCCTCTCCCCTCCCCCCAGCATTGTTGTCTATGTTCATCGATTATGCTTATATGCATAAGTTCTTTGGTTTATCTCTTCCCTCACCCCCATCCCCCTCCTCTGAGGTTTGTCAGTCTGAACCCTACTTCTATGTCTCTGGGTCAGTTTTGTACATCAGCTTGTTTATTATTTTCCATACATAAGTGCGATCATATACTTGTCTTTCTCTGACTGGCTTATTTTGCTTAGCATAATACTCTCCAGGTTCCTCCATGTCATCTCAAAGGAAAAGAGATCTTTCTTTCTTACAGCTGCATAGTACTCCATTGTGTATATGTACCACAGTTTTATATTCCACTCATCTATTGATGGACACTTGGACTGTTTCCAGATCTTAGCAAATGTAAAGAGTGCTGTTATGAACATAGGGGTGCAAATATTCTTTCCGATTGGTGTTTCAGGCTTCTTAGGATATATTCCTAGAAGTGGGATCACTGGGTCAAATGGCAGTTCAACTTTGAATTTTTTTAAGGGAAACACCATAGTGTTTTCCATAGTCCAGAGTAGTTTGGTATTTGCTTCTTTCAGGTGCCTCAGTAATAAGAAAAGGATCACTAATCCAGTAATCTTTTTGTTTAATATTTTTGCTTAGTGTTTTAGTTATTAGGAATAGTGTAAATACCTTAACCTCTACCAAGTACTATTAATGAAATGGTGGAGGGGTTATTTTTGTCCATTTTTAAAAACTGCCTACTCACCTCCTTAGTTTACTGCAATTTTGATGAGGAGATGTTAGTGACGGGATCAGAATTTTACCTCTATAAGCTCCTTTCCCCCCACGACTACTTCACATGCCTTGATACAGAAATACAACATCTTGCCCTGGCCAATTTTGCTCAGTGGTTAGAGCATCGGCCTGTGATCCAGAGAGACCTGGGTTCAGTTCCCGCTAAGGGCGTGTACCTCGGTTGTAGTTCGTCTCCTGCCCTGGTTAGGGTCGTGCGGGAGGCAACTAATTGATGTGTCTCTCTCACATTGATGTCTCTCTCTCTCTCTCTTCTCCCTCTCTCCTTGCCACTCTATCTGAAGATAAATGGAAAAATATCTTCAGGTGAGGATTGAAAAAATATATATATATATATTTTCCCACGTTTTCAGAGCGATAGTGTGTCTCATATAGTGTTGATGGGTGGCTGTGCATTAAACCTAATTTATGGTTTACTTTGTTCTGTTTTATGGGAGGGAGATGTTGTAGTTTGGTTTCCTGCTGATGTTTTTTCTCTCTGAATGTTTCTACTGGGTTTGATATGAGGCATCGTATCCCCTTGGGCCTTGTGTCTCTAATGCTGATCCTTACCTTGCTGGAATTGCGTATAACCATCGCTGTCTCAGCCATGTGGTGCAAAGCAAACTGCTGTAGTTCAAGAGAGGTAGGTTTGTTTAAATGGCTAATAATTCCCGTGATCTGCTACCCTCCCTGTAAGGCTTGAGGTCATCTCTGACTCTTGAAATTGGAAAGAAACTTGTATGCAGTAGTGATTTGTGGGGTTCTCTGGAGTTATAAATGGTATGGATACTAGAGATGGAAGGAAGGCTGGAAAAGAATTCTGATGTAAAAATGCAAGGAAAAAATGTATTTTGTATCTAAGAGCACCCATTTTTTTATACAGATAGGATTAAATTATTATTTTCTTGTAACTTGTCACTTTCTAGCTGTATACCCAGGAAAAATCACCAATTCCTTTTAGCTTTTTGGTATTTAAACTAAAATGAAAACATCATTCATTTCTGATGTTGTAAGGTCTATGTATATAATACTTTAGTAATAATCAGTAAATGAATCAGCGGTCATCATGATGATAATAGGAAGGGATGGAAGTGATGATCTTATTCTTTTGAGACTGATGTTTCATTTTTCAGGAAATCTCCTCACTTCCCAATTCTGTAGAATCAGGAGTGCATCCTCATTAAAGTAAATATGAGTGCAAGGAAATTAAACCTCAAATCTCCATGAATTAGAGCTCCATCCAAGAACTCAAGAGAACATGAGCCTGTGAAACACACTCCAACAATCATGGCACCAATCATGAGAAACTTGGACATCTGACTCAATCCTTTCTGTCCTAACTGTAAATCCCATTGGCGTGTCTTGATAGAGAGGGACAAATATGCCTCTTTAGGCATTCTTGGCTTTGTAACTTCTATGATTACCACTCCAGAGTTGTCCCCAGAAAGTGGTCCTCTTTCTTCCTACCCACCGATGCATTGCCTTATAAGGTCTAAAGAGAGCAGGGAGAATAATCTCTATTTCGTATGTTCTCTCTAAAATCCAACTTCCACCTACCCAATGAGAAGAAAAATGATTCACATATATATATATATCTATATATATATGAATATATATATATAGTATTACAGAAAAATGCTTCTTGACTTTAGCTGACATTGCAAAAACTGTCAAATGAAAAAATCATCATCATCATCAAGACACATTTTAACTATATTTGAGGTGGGAGGGTCAAGCCTCAAGATTTTATTTCAATCAGCAGCTGAGATGCATTCATACGTGTCCTGACACAGAAATAACGGTTTATATTGGGGACTTTGAGAGCAAGGTCAACATGTATTCTTCAAAGCATGGTGAAAAATTGTAAAACAGAGAAATAAAGAACAGGAGCTTTAAAGTCTTGTAGGTCTGGGTTCAAATTCTGATACCATCACTCATAACCCATGTTAATTTGAGCAAATTAACCTCTGTAAACTGTTTTTTTTCTCATCTGTAAAATAAGTGTGCTATTATCAACTACTATTTCAACATCTTTTATGAGGGTGAAATAAAAGGAAAGCAAATAGGAAATAGTGCCACACTCCTTCACAATGATCTTGCTGTTGTTGTTGGTCTTGTTACTGCTGGTGAGGCTGAGGTGGGACCATGGTCAGATGAGCAGGGAAGGTGGCAGAAACCCTCACACCTCCACTGTGGCCCCCACACACCCTCCAATGACTTCAATAGCCCTTTTCCTCAAGGTGGCAATTTGATGTTAAAGCTCCCTCTGATATATCTAGCTCCTGATTTATAAACCTACTGCTGAGATATTTATATTTCTGACCTATAAATTAATTGTCCTCTCTTGATACTGAACTGAATCATTTCAATGTTTATATGTTCACACCTACAAGTTACTCTTAGCTCCTTATTTGCCATGTGCAAATATCTTTCTGTACTCTCTACTAATTCTTACCTCTCTTTTTCAGAATATGGTTGTGTGTACACACATATGTGTACACACACACACACACACACACACACATATTTGTTGGTTTGTACATTCAATAATCATTTAGGGAGTGCCTGCTGTGTGCCACGCGCTGGGTGAAGAATTTGGCATACCACAGAGAGTGACTCTAAACTCTGAGCAGTCTGTAAAAATCTTTCTCTTTGCATTTATGAGATCATATAAGTGAAGAGACAAAGGTATTCTCTTCAAGTTTAGACTCAGCACTAGGACTCTTAAAACCACCTGTCTTCTGTGAACAATATTTTTTTCAATTCTGTGGAACATTAGGAGGTCGGTATCAGTCTCAGCCTCTCTCAGCCTTGGCATCTTAACCATCTTTATTGAACCCATACTTGGCTCTGAGAGAGAGAGAGAGAGAGAGAGAGAGAGAGAGAGAGAGAGAGATTCTTTGGGGAGTATCAGATAATACCCTTTCTGATAGTACACTTTCAATGTGTCACATGCAAATTCACGCATATTTATTTTAAGTAATTTGAGCATTCGGTTTGAGAAAACAGTTGTTCAGATGTGAACTGAAAGCAAGTTCCTTTTGAGTTTGAGGAAATAGATCTAATGTATAACTGAGAGAAGAATCTTTGCTTGTGAAAGAGGAAGCCGAATGGGGAGTGGATGAAAAGCATGTGCCAATGAGCTGTCAGGAGGAAAAGTCTGTGGTGGGGAGAAATGTTAGCTCATTTATCTCTTCCTTTCAGGCAGATGCGTGATTAAAACTCATCTTGATTATCTTTCCCCCACCAAAAAAAAAAAAAAAAAAAGACATTTTGTCATTCGTCAATGTTCACTGTTGGGAAAGATGACAGGGCATGGCTGTAAGGACCCAGTGTGGGCACAGAAGATGATACGCATCTCAGAAAGGATAGGACGAAGATGCTGGTAGAAATTGGGATATGAAGTAATTCGGAGGTCATAAAGTATGTCTTGCTTTCTGGTTTGCATTTTTCAAGGTTTTATCAAAAATTCTCACAAAATAACATCATTTCCAAACACTGCAGACTGTCCCCTGTCTGTTTCCTGCCTAAATCTCAAGTCTAATTTCTAATTATTTGTTGTACACATAATGCACTGTTATAGTCTCCCAGAAAATACCACAAACAGGCATTTCTTCAGGTCTTTTTCCAGCAGAGATGGTGTAATTCTACCGAGGGAGAGGCAAGGAATCTCCTGAGGCTCTTTAGCAACTTCTGACATGTTGGTATTATATCATTTATCTTTATTCTGCTCTGCTAGACTTGTGAGTTGGACAAGGGCTGGGACCATGGTGCTCATCTCTGCACATCCAGTGATACCAGCAGTACCTAACATGGTGTGTTAAGTCCTTTTCGGATGAATGTATAAATGAATAAGGGTGTGTGTGTGTGTGTGTGTGTGTGTGTGTGTGTGTGTGTTTTGTTGTTGTTGTTAATCCTCACCCAAGGTTATTTTTTTATTGATTTTTAGATAGAATGGAAAGGAGGGAGAGGGAAAGAGAGAGAGAGAGAGAAACATTGATGTGAGAGAGACACATTGATTGTTTGCCTGGAACCCACAATTTAGGTACATGCCCTTGACTGGTAATTGAACCTGGGACCATTTGGCCTGCTACCTGATGCTCTAACTGCTGAACCAAACCAGCCGGGGCAGTGAATGAGATTTATTTCTTTCCTTAAAAAAATTTTTTTTCTTTATTGATTTTTTAGAGAGAGAGAGAGGAACAGAGAGGGAGAGATAGAAACATCAATGAGAGAGAAACATCAATTGGCCACCTCCTGCATGCCCCCACTGGGGACTGGGCCCACAGCCTGGGCATGTGCCCGGACTGGAAATTGAACTGCCAACCTCCTGGTGCATGGGTCATCACTCAACCATTGAGCCACACTGGCTGGGTTATTTCTTAATTACAATTTATTAATTACAATTAAACACATTGGTCAGGTCCACTGATTCCTGAAGACACAGCGGGAATATGGGTTAATCAATTTTTGTTACAAAAGGCAGGCTAATAATCTTTTCGTGTACTCTGTTCACACAGAGGAGAATGAGGATTATCTTAGTTTCCTGGAGAATAAGGATGATATCACACCCCAGAGAAATAATCCAGATGATTAGAGGTATAATTTGTAGTATCTTACAGTTTAATGAAGAGGCATTCAGGATTATGTTTATAGTTAAACAGAAATTAAAGTGTCCCTGGTATTCGAATGTCACTTGTATATTCACTTTGCTATGGTCTAGCTAGTTGTGCAATGAGAATGAACACGTTGTTTAACTCTGACTGCTCAACTCAGTGCTACTGAGACCTGCGCATAGGATTTGTCATCGAGTTACTGCCCTTTGGTGTTTCCACAGCCTTTTCCTTGTCATCACAGAAATCAAAGCAGTGGATCATCAGCCTGATGCTTTAGCAGACAATAGAGTCCTTAGTGTGAAACTCTCTTAGCTCTCACACTCTATCAGGAAGGGTTCACTGTGGTTAGAACCCTACCTATCTGGTTTCTGAGACCACCTGTGTGTGTACCATATAAGTAGTGTCCAAAAGAGAGGAAGAGAGAGAAAGGCCATACCTATTGAAGTCAGAGACGAATCAGAGATTCAGAGGCTGAGACACACTCCTACATGCAAACAGTGCTTCGCCTTAGATTCTGTGTGAATCTATGTATGCCTTAAACAGGGAAGGTGGACTTTTCAAAAGTTCGATGGGAGAGTTCCGCCATGGAAATGGCCAAAGTGGGATCAGAGTGAAGAAAGTTCCAGAAGAAAAGGACATCTCTTTTTGTTTGGCAGGTTTTTTCCCCCTCACCTTCTCAATCTCCATTAAACGGTTTCATTTTTCATGTCTATAAATCCTGCTGGTTTCAGGCAGAGTTATTCTCTAGGAGTCTCATACTAGTTCCTACTCAGTAGACAGCTCAATTTTTCTCTTCAAAATAACTAGAAACACCCTGTTGATCTTAATCAACCAGTAAGCTTATCTGTCTGACAAATGTCTTAACTATGAAGATAGTCATCAATGTCATGAGCCAGTCCATCTCAACTGCCCACGCAGAGCACACCCTGAGAGGAAGCCCACCAAGGCTTGTTGTTTAGAATATTTTTCATTACTGGATAGCTCGATTAATTTTAAAAAATGGACACAGAAAATATAAGCAGAATGGATCTTGCTCTCCCAAATCCACAGGAGCCCTCCAGGTAGGCACAGGCTATTATATATATATTTTTTATTCTCAGTTACTTAATAGACCAGAGATAGTCACAGTGCTGGGGAGAAGTCAATTCATGGACTCAGTCATGGACCCATCTGGTTTAACTAATATAGTGAGTATAAGGAAGCAATTTGCTATTCCTTTCCAGTAGTTCTCTCTGGTTGATGGGGAAGAAGGTTTTTGCTCAGCTTGTGAACTGGGAATAACTTATGTTTTCTAAAAAAAAGGGTCACATTCCAGGTATGAGGTAGAGGAGTTTGTACGATCAGTATAAATCTCTTGCCTCTGTGTCTGATGTTGCTAACAGACAGACACTTTTAAACATGACCCTGCACTCCTTCCTGGTTAGTCTTTGTGAACCTCAGGCTGTAGAATCCTGCCCCACTGCTTACAGGGAACTGTTCTTGGTGTGAAGGTCAATATAAGTAGATAATTTAGTTTTCCTCTGAATACTAAACATGAACACATGTTAAGACTTTCCTTTGAAAGATTTTAGGAGAGGCTGAAAACACATCTTTGGGGATCAACGTCAGATTGAATATCATTGCAAAATGTAAATCTATTCCACATCTTTAGAAGGGGGGGTATTTCTAGTTAACCTCTTCTAAAGATGAAAACAGGATCAGAGATTCAAATAACCCTTCAAAGCCATTTCTTTGTGCACATAAAATTGGGTGTATCCATGACAAAATATATTCAGACACATTTCTATGTTACAAGGGCTGAGAGATGCACAGGTAAACATGTCTGATAGCTTTTATTTTCACTCGCCTGCATAGATTAATGAGAAAGAACTTGGATTAATTCTTGGGTTACTAAAAACACGTGGCACAGTTTTTGTTCCATTTTGTCTCCTCTAATCACTGATTAGTGATCTTGCCCAGTTACTTGGACCCTTTGAGCCTCAGTGTTTTATTCATTGCAATGAAGATTTTAATTGCAAGATTGGTTTGAAAAAGTAAACAATCAAAACTCCCCTTTTTGTGAGTTCAGAACTTTGCACACAGGGGTTAGGAAATTTCCTCGTGATTGGATTTCTGTTTAAACTTCACAGAGTGCCTGAATTTGAACGTTCAGAAGCACCTTCCCATCATAACACCCCACCACCGCGCCAGACATGGCTGACACTTTTGAAGAGGGAGCTGGAATTTCTGGGGGTAAGTGAGCCTTCTCCAACCCCAATTAAAAGAAGGACTGGCTCTAGGAAAGAGTATTTGGTTACGTCAACAGTTTCTCCACTTGGATTCATAAGGAGTAAAGAACCCAATAGATGAAAAGTTGACGCCAACTGGGCCTTGTTGGGTAGAAAGAAGCAATTCCTCGTGAAGATTAGAATGAAAATGGCAAATAGGATCTACCAACTCTGGCCAACTGCTGGTGGATTAATATAATATCTTTCTGTGAAAGATTTATAATTTTTATCTTCACTTGGATGGAAAGGACAATTACTTATGTCCACCATGTGTACCTGAGTAAAGGTGATGAAAATTATACTGGCCATTCCTGCATTAGGTCATGCCTGTATAAATTCTTTGAGTGGCCAAAAGCTACTGGAAAATAGCACATTTAAATCCTTTCTCAGGACTTCCTAAGCCACCGAAGCAATTCCCCACATTTGGCCTCAATTTTAAAGAAACTTGGGAAAATATCATTTTATTCCACAAAAGTTATGCATTTTTTTCTACAGGTAACACACATTCTAATTGGTTCCATATGTCTTTGTTTTGGAACAATTGTCTACACCATGTTCGAGATTTCAGAATTTGAGAAACAGTTATTTTCATCATTTAAAGCAGGCTACCCATTCTGGGGAGCATTAATTGTGAGTATCTATTTATTTTTGTCTCTGAAATAACACTACACAAAACTTTTCTCTTACCCGAATCAGATCTACCCAATTGTTTATCTCTAGTATTCAGATTGTATATAATAACATATTTATATTTATATTATGTTTGTGTGTATATAAATTTGTATAAAATATAGTCACAATTTATAAAACACCTTGGACTAAACATGATAGCACACTTTTATTAGATGAGAAACCTGAGATTAATAAAAGTTAAATGAATTGCTCAAGGGACATTTAAAAAATGAAAATAGAACCTAAACTTTCAGAATCCAATTCCAGAAAAATGTCCCTAACGTTAATTTATCAATAAAGTTATTTTAATAAAGGGAGGGCAAAGAGGCAACTGAAGTAAGGACAACATGGTCAAAGGCATTTGATGAACTTCTCTTATGCCCTAGAAAGTCTTTCAGGGGCTTTCTCATTGAATCTCTTTTAACCATTATACTGTTTAGAAAACTAGATGACTGAATGAAAGTATAAAGGTATCTAGCTTTAGTGAGGTATAATTGACATACAATAAATTACACATATATAATATAAGGTGTGTAATTTGACACATTTTGACACATGCACACCTGTGAAAACATTATCACATCAGTATAATGAACATATCCATCACCTCCAAAAGTTCCCTTGTGACCCTTGGTAATCTTTCCTTTCCTATATCCCTGTCTTCCCATTCTCAAGCAATTACTCATCTGCTTTCTGTCGCTCTAGATTTGTTTGCATTTTCTAGAGTTTTATATAAATGGAATTATACAGCATGTTCTCTCTACTGTCTGACTTCCTTCACTCAGCATCATCATTTTCAATTAACCCATGTCATTTTTTTTTTGTATCTACATGTCATTCACAGGATATATTTTAAATCTGAAAAATATCACATTGGTTTGGCACTCTGCTCAAGAATTCGGTCAGATCAGAGCTTTCCTTGAACTTTGGCCATATTTTATTTGTACCTTCTCACTTCTGTCTTTTCATTCCAGACACTTAGCTTATTAGTGTCTCTCAACCTCTTATACAATCTGAATCTCTGAAATTGCTTTGAACTTACTCTATTGATATATATTTTCACCATGTACATTTTCATAATTACTACATGTCTACATGATATATGTCAGTCTCTAGATATATGCATGCCACAAACACGTTTCTCATTCAAAGGAGCTGACAGTCTAACATACAAGGTGCTCATACACATAGTTACAATGCAGTGAGAGTAGTTTCATAGCAGAATCCTGCACCAGGTGCTGCTGGACCTTGCTACTCCAAAGGTGACCCAGGGATTATCAGTCTCAGCATCACCTAGGGAGCCTGGTAAAAACGAAGAATTTAAAGCCCCATCCAGGACCTACCAAGGAACAATCTGCATTTTAACAAGACCGTCATATGATTCATGTGTACACTTAACTTTGAGAAGCACTCTATAGGAAATAAGAACAAGAAAATAATGAACTCATGGAAAACCTGAAAGGTTAACTTTATAGAGTACCCACAACTTGACCCTATATTTGGAGGAGGGGGGTGAAAGGGACATAGAGAAGAGCAGACTCACTGAACTTCCCCCCTTCCTTTGGACAGTTTGCTATTTCTGGATTTTTGTCAATTATGTCTGAAAAGAAAAGTGCAACATGTCTGGTGAGTTGCAATTCTGTCATTGTTCATCCTTGAGAAGGTAAGAACAGTTGAATTTTAAGAGTCTTGAGGTGACATGTCATCATCTCTTATGTTATGAGAAAATGTGGATTTGTGATGATTTTCCAGCCTATTTTGTATTGGATATACTCATTAAAATATCAATTGTGTCATTTAAAAACAATAAAGTGTAATTACCTTGACTCTTGTTTAGAAAATATCCCCACACTAGCCTTATCCTTGTAAGTATAGCTATAGGATCTAATAAATTATTTGTTTCCAATTAAGGAAACTATTTAAGGAGAGGCTCTGTGTGCCCATGTGGGTTTTCCTGAACGTGGTCCTAGCAAGAAAGTTAAAGGTCCTTATTAAACAAATACATGTTCAGATCTCTCTTTTTAATCTGTATCTTGTATAAGTGCAGAGTTTACTGGATACATCTAGCCCTGAAGTGCTGATCGGCTACTTGAATGTACTGTCAAGTGCAAGAACAGGTCTAAATATTTTTTATTATCAGATACAAGGAAGCCTGGGAGCGAACCTGGTCAGCAGCATAGCTGCAGGAATAGGAATCTTTATCCTGGTCAACAACCTACAGATCAGCTTGGCTTATATCAACCCTTGCCAGAAAGTTCACCAGGATGACTTCTGCTTTGCGGTGTTTTTTTCCACTGTATGTATTTCTCAGGTCCTGATCTAAGTAAGAAGTCCTCATTTCCTTTTCCAATCCCCCCCCCCCCTTTTTGCAACCTCTATTACATAATGCGGTATTCTGTAGATTCATGCATGGAGATGCTGATGACCTCTTCCTCCCATGCCCAGCTCAATTCTGCATGGTTGGAGTCATCTGCCTTGAGTAACCATCTCCTGTGTGTGTGCGTGTCACTTTATAGGGTCTAATCATGTGGGGAGTGATGAAAACAGGGGACTGCTGTAAGGGAATGCACCCCGGGGACACCTACCTTTGTGACTCCACTTGTCTTTTTTGGTTGTTGTTCAACAGAAAATTGTGGCCATGATCCTGTTTCTCACCATCCTGGGGTTTGGGGTTGCTGTGTTAGTCACAGTCTACAGAGTTGGAGAATTCTTCAAAAAAGATCAGGTAGGCAGAGGCCTGATACTAAATCTTGAATGACAGGCTAAAGAATTTGAGCTTACTCACTTAAACATATGGCCTAGAGTTCCTGGAACATTTCTTCCAGAAAAGTATTTCTCCAAGTTTCAGTGTTTTGGTTTCCAAATCTCATATTTCAAGTCAGATTTTCCACTCAGCAATGTATCTCTGTGGCTAAGGGTTAGGATAGCAGAACCTTCATCATTTTAGAAAACGCAGATGCTATGAAATGTGTTGGGCATGAGATGAATGAGCAGGTAGCATGTGCTGGAAACGCTCAGACACCTGGCTTATTTTCTGTCCCAGAAGAGCTCCCATGTATTTGTTCCCTTTCTCTCTTTTTGACCTTGGCTATTACCTTCCCACTTGCTCTTTCCCACTTCTTTCCTCCTTAATTCACAACTGTATCCTGCATTTTCACTTGCCTTGCTCACCCATTGCACCTTTGACGTATGAAAAAAAAATTGCCAACATTTGATGCACATACTTACTTAGAACTTTCAAGTGAAACACACTCTCTCCATCTGTCCACTTGCCTGAAGCATTCAAGTGTGGCTACCTTGTTTTGATCACTTTCCTCCAAAGACAAACAAGACAGCAGGTATACCAACGTTCAGACACACTCACCAGCTTGTCATTGACCAACACAATTTATTTTGGGCCTACTTGGTCAGCCAGTCTGGCATGGTTTGTTGGAGATGGAGGGAATAATTAGAGTCTAATGGGAGCGAATGTGAAATGATATACATCTTTCGAACAAACCCTCTAGTGGTGGAAAATTCTTGGTGATTGATGTTGAATACTTTTTTTCCTCACCAGATTCCAGAAGATCGTCTTTATGAAGAATTAAATGTATATTCACCAATTTACAGTGAGCTGGAAGAGAGAGTGGAGACATCTTCTCCCACTGAGTTATAAGAATCATGCTCAGAATATTCTCATTCATAGCAAAGGGTATGGAAAGCCAGATCTTTGTTTAAAGGGCTACTGGCAAAATTTCAGTCCTCTTTATGATCTGCCAGTTTTACCTTGTGATCTATTCTCCAGATGATAATATTTTGTTTCTGTACAACTAAGTACCACCCCCTCCCTGCCCGATTTGTAGATTTAATCGACTCCCATTTTTCTCATTTCCTATTGATATGTCACACCCATTTCTCCTGGGAAATCAATGTGCAGTAAGCATTTACTGTGTGCCTCTAACTGTGCAAACAGGAAAAACAAGAGGAAGGCTGGTAGAGAGCTGAGTTAAACTTGAATGGTTTGATATTTGGTTTTCATCCCCTTTTAAGATCCACAGACATGATGGACGCGATACACATCTCCCAGTAGATTGTAAGCACCAGTCAGCAAACATTTTGAGAACTGATTAGTATTTGTATCTTTCACATTGTGTATCCCAGTATTTCACCCACAGGGGATGCTCAGTGAATATTTATGGAGCAGATGGGTATAGATGCAGGGAGGATATCCCAGAGGCAGAGTAGACAGGGAGAAAGAAATGATTCTAAAGTGAATTTGGAGGCAATAAGAAGACTGAATTGATAGATATTAAAAATTGAGTTAGGTGTATAGTCACGTAGAGATTTGATTAGAGATTCTGCAAGCAAGTATTGAACATATTGGTGGATTCATGTCAGGATTAGCAATGGATGCTTCCTGTTTATGTTTGATCTTATGATATGGAGAAAACAACATAATATATTAGAAGGATCAATGATCTTTTAAAATGTAAGGATTCTGCACTGGAATCCCAGGCTGATTGCTTACTAGTTGAGTGAGTTGTGGCAAACTGTTTAACCATTTACTTAATATGGGTTTCCTCATCTATAAAATTAAGATTAGGCATAATTTACCTGCCAGCACTAAAGGTCTGTTGTAGAAACACATGCACATACATACATGTGCTATAAATTAAAAGTGTTCTAAAAGAGATTATTATATAAATTATCTAATTTATATATATATATATATATATATATATATATATATATATGCAATCTCAATATTTTAGTAATCTCCAATGATATACAATTTAAGTTTGTTTTATCTTAACTTCAAAAGCCTCACTCTCTGGTCCCATTTCAACTTTCTCTTTAATATGCTTTGTGCTTAACCACCTCACATCAGCACCCTGGCTTGAACTTGCTTGAATTTCTTCTTTCTTTAATGCCTATCTTAAATCCCATCTCATTCTTTAAGATTTTCTAGCCAAGACTGCTCCTCTCTCAAGATAATGACTTTTTCAAACCAAATACACACACACACAACTTACACTATATGTAAGTTTCTAAATGTAAATATTTTACATTCTATCCATGATAATACGTGATTTTTATTTTCAAAAATTCAAAGCCTCATTAAGATCTGTGTATTGTCCTGGCTGGTTTGGCTCAGCGGTTGGAGCATCAGCCTGCAGATCAGAGAGTCCTGGGTTTGGTTTCCGCTAGGGGCATGTACCAAAAAAAACAAAACAAAAAAAAACCACACACAAAAAATATGTATATTGTCGAATAATCAGTGCATTCACGGACGTGATATTTGTAGATGGATGAGTGGGCAGAGGGGAGTTTAAGTTACTTAGTGTCTAGTGAGAGGGAAACCATAAGAGGAAAGGTCATTTAAGGAGAAATTTAAAATAAAAGAAGAATAAATGAATGAAAACCTTAGCTAAAATGAAGTCAGTGAACATGGAGAGAAATGGTCATATCTAAAACATGGAGAGAAAGACTAGTTGGTCTTTTTGTTAACAAGCTGAATAAAAGGATAAATTTAGACAAGCAACTGGTCGAGTAACATGTTAAGTATTTGAGTCTAAGATCAAAGGACAACACCTGGAAATGTTGAGGGAAATGATGGGGAGTCAGGAATAAGAATTAATGGGGAGGAATACAGCCAGACCTAAAGCAGACTCGGTTTTAGATGGTCATGTATAGGAGACCAAAAGAAATGCAACTTGAGAGGGCCCGAGGGCTTCTCGGCAGAGTTCTGCAGAGAAGAAATGCGGTGATGGAGATTTGTGTCATTATAAGAGAGCTCATTATTCAGTGAAACCCTCTAAGAGAATTATTTCGAGATAAAAGTGAAGCCAAGTTAACCTTCACTTGCCTATAACAAGAGGGACTGTGGAGTGGGGAAAAACCTAGGGTGGAAGATGTAAGAATTATTCAGAAGAGTGCATTATGAAACAGTAGACAGCCCAAAGTGGACAGAAAGTGGAGAGCAATTAGAGAAAGGTAACCATCAGAGACAGTATCTGCAGGCTTGGGCAAGAGAAAAGTTTGTTGTGACGAATCAACTCCAGGTAAAGCACAGAAAAAGGGCAGAGAAAATACAAGTGGTAAATAAATGCAAAGGTGCAGAGAAATTCAAAACAGGGTATGGTGATGAGGAACTGAATAAAACATTTGCAGAGGCATTTACAGGGAGTGGGGGGTATATATGGTATGAGAAATAAGAGAGGCCCTGGCTGGTTTGGCTCAGCGGTTAGAGCGTTGGCCTGGGTCCAGAGAGATCAGGGTTCGGTTCCCGCTAACGGTGCGTACCTCGGTTGCAGTTTGTCCCCGGCCCTGGATGGTCATGTGGGTGGTAGCCTCTGTCTCTTTCTCTCTCTCTCCCTCCTGCTCTATCTGAATAAAAAATAAAAAAATGTCCTAGGGTGAGGATAAAAAAAATATATATATATATAATAAAAAATAAATAAATAAAAATTTAAAAAAGCTTGCAAAAAAAAAAAAAGAGAGAAATAAGAGAGTAGATTGTGAATACAAAGTGGTGAAGAAAAGAAGCCAAATAATTTTGTTGCCTTTGATGTTTGTATTATTAAGAGAAGGAGAAAGGAATTCAAATCTTTAGCCTAAGTAGAAGTGTCCTGTGGAGGTACTGAAAAATCAGTTTGAGGGTATTATTCACAATTCATTAACAAAATAATTAATTATGTCTTATGTATTTAGAGTGCCAAAATTTAAAAAGGGACAATTAGATGTTAATTTTTCAGAATATGAAAGTGATCACATAATCATACAAGTGATTAAGTGACTTGGTAAGACTGTCTAACCTCACGATCTCAGGTTTTCTATTTTAATTTTTCTGAAGTAATTTTGTTTTTCAAAATTTAACAGCAGAATGAAAATATACCCTTTCACTGTGTAACTTTCTAAGCTGTGTCTTCATTTTTTAGCATCCATAGGTATTGATCACACTTCCATGGCATATGTATTAATACCCTAACACTGAGCCTAATCTACCAGGACCTCTTGAAATAGATCCAGTCCATTGTTACAATTGCATAATATTTTATATTACTCTTTTCCCCACTCAATTCATATTTTAACCACATTGTGGACTGCATATTTTCTATGTACACAACATAATTTTTGTCTCAAGACCATTCTGATAGCTGTCCTGCCCCGCCTGTCTTTTATCATGTGCCCACTTCAAGTACACACTGAGTATACAACTGCCATGTTCCAACTCATTCATTGCTCCAAATTATCTCTCTAAATATTTCAGCTGAAAGGTCATCTTCTCCATAAAGATTGCCTGATGAACACCTACCTATTCATCCAGTCTTGATTTCTTGCTTTGTGATCACCTTACCCCATGATACAGTGTGTTATCATTTATTATTAGTGCACTTGTGATCTTGATGTATCAATTGCTAGTATTTGTGCAATAAATTGGAATCATTTAACTTGATTTCTTGTCTCTCTCTCTCTCTGTGGATATGAGGGTGAGAGGATGATCAAGGATAATATAATCAAAGCATCAATTCAGTGGTGCCAAGGACCACGAACAGCTTCTAGAGCCCTCCTTTCTATCAATGCTTTATCAAATGGGACAACCTATTAATAAACCCACAGACAGAAAACTCTTGTAAGAACGACCATCAACCAACTCTTGTCAATAAATGGTGGGATGAAGTTGAAAGGCATGGAACCATGAGTCCCATTTTACTTGGTCCTGACTCTAATTTATTTGTGAACTTGAGATAGTCTGTTCCCTTTGCAGATCTCAGGTTTTCCAACTGAAAATGAGCAGTTTGGAACAAAAGATTTCCACCTGATCTTTCTGTTTCCATGACCTGTGCTTGTGGAAATCATATTAACTAAGTTTGTGATTGGGGTAGCTCTTTGATGTACCAATTAGCAAGACATCTGAGACGATAACATTAGTCCTGAACTCCCATGACAAAAGCCAATCAAAGTAAGTACTCTTTCTGAAAATTGTCTTAGAAATAAAAATTTCCAAATCATTCCATCCTATGAGTTATGACTGTATCTATAAAAATCACTAAAAAAAATGGAGTACTGTATCTATAATTTCATCTTGAGTGTTGACATAAACGTATATGGACAAGAGTGTGAGTCCATGGTAGTTGCCATCTGTGTTTCATGTATATTTCCCTCCACTGGAAAAACTCTGCTCACTCCACAGTCAATGGGCTCATTTATGTCTCCTAAGCAGCTGCTACCAGGGACTCTCTGCATAGTGTTTTAATGAACAACATTGAGGAGAAGTGATTGTGCAGAATGTGGACTTTGGAATATAATATATCCACAAGCAAGTTGTAGTAGCTACATTAGATACTAGCTTCATGATCTTGGATAACCTTTTAAAGTTTATCTTAATTTATTTTTCTTATTTTTTAAATGAATATATTTAATATTACTACTTCAACTACATGTTTGTGTTCAAAGATCATGTAGCCAAATGCCTAGAATGGTGTATGGGACATATTTTTGCATTCATAAATATTGATGCCTAGTCTTAAACCTGAATTTGGGAAAAGTGACACCATTCTATCTTATCAAAAACTTTTGACAAAATTCACATATACCTTGTTATTTCTGGTTGGAAAAAGTAGGTATGAGACCCTAGGAGATACCATGGAAGGTCATTCTTAGTAGGTTTCATACAGAATATTACCAGGTAAGTGAAAATGCAAGAAATATATATTATAAGATGATGTTGTCTTAGTCCTAAAAAGGCAGAAAAGTAGATGGAAAGAGGCTATAGGAAAATGCTCAGATAAGCTTGGAGAAACTTATAAAAGCATATCTTCTTCTCTTCAGCAGTCAGAAATATTTGAACACATAATATCAGTCTATTAGGAAAACACATAAATACCTCTGTGGGATTTAACACCATATACTAAGGGGCCCAAGAAAAGTCTCGCCTAGCTGTGCAGTGGTTAATGGGCAGATAAAAATATCAGAGAATGTTAAAGGAACACTTCTTACAGACTGATTTTAGGACTCCAGCATGAAACCCTGCCACAAGCTGCAAGGAGAACTGCACTTGAGATTCCCCCATGCCTGCAGGTACCCCCACAGCAAGTGCTAAACCCATACCTTCCCCACCTTGCAGCTGGCTCCCTGTGCATGCTCTTGAGTGCAGCAGTGAGGGCCAGCCTCAGTAAACAGTCTCCTGAAAGAAACAGGGTGGGATCTGTGGACAGGGCAGAAACCACAAGCTTGAGCTATAGCATCACCTTAATGAAAAAATAAAGAGGTTTCCAGCCACCAGCTTGGTGAGTCATAAGAACCATAGAAGATGTTGTTATAAGTTTAAGATCTTTGCCACAAGGAGTAAAAAAATATGGAGCAGGTGTATACATACAATGTTGGAGAAAAATCAGATATAAGTGGAGCCGAGAAAAAATATCTCCCACTAGAAGATGACAAATAGAGATTTTCGGAAGTGTCTACTGATTCAAATGTGAAAATAGCAACACAAAATCTAAGCAACATAAAGAATCAAGAAAACAGGCTGTTACCAAAAGATAACAATAATCCTCTAGTAATTAATTCAAAGACACAGAATTTTGTGATTTAGCTGCTAAAGAAACCAAAATAGCCGTGTTGAGGAAACTCAATGAACTATAAAA